TAGGTCAAATTTATAGTATTTTCTTATTTTTGCGATTCTGACACTACACTTTAATAATTTGCTTCAAAATTTTGCACACAGGTAGCAGAGAGTGTGCTAATAGTGTTAGCCTTTTGCCGTCAAAAAGTATTTTGACCCACTTTTGAGATATGGTGTCCGAAAAGTAGGTCAAAATAAAATGTTCTCAAAATTTAACATATGAGCTATGAATTAAGGGTAGAATTTTCCCAGGAATCCGAATCTGCAAACTAAATTTCAATCCAACTTTCGGTTCGGAAGTTATGGCGTTTTGAAAGCTCAAAAATCGCTAAATTTGGTGCCCCATGTTATGTCAATGAGAAAAAAGATTTTTTTGAAGTGTAAAATACCAGATATAAACTGAGTACAGCTTAACATTCTGAAAGCCTATAAAAGAAGGGGACCTCGAAGGCTATCTAGCTTTAAAATTTGGACACCAAAATGCCTAGGTCAAAATCTAGGTCAAATTCATAGTTTTTCCTTATTTTTGCGATTCTGGCACTACACTTTTAGGATTTGCTTCAAAATTTTGTATACAGGTAGGAAAGAGTGTGCTAATAGTGAGAGCCTTTTGCCGTCAGAAAGTATTTTGACCCACTTTTGAGATATGGTGTCCGTAAAGTAGGTCAAAATAAAAATTTCTCATAATTTAACTTATGAGTTATGAATTAAGGGTAGAATTTTCTCAGGAATCTGAATCTGCAAACCAAATTTCAATTCGACTTTTCGTTGGGAAGTTATGGCGTTCTGAAAGCTCAAAAATCGCTAATTTTGGTGCCCCATGTAATGTCAATGAGAAAAAAGATTTTTTTGAAGTGTAAAATACCAGATAAAGACTGAGTACAGCTTAAGATTCTGAAAGTCTATAAAAGAAGGGGACCTCGAAGGCTATCTAGCTTTAAAATTTGGACACCAAAATCCCTAGGTCAAAATCTAGGTCAAATACATAGTTTTTCCTTATTTTTGCGATTCTGGCACTACACTTTTAGGATTTGCTTCAAAATTTTGTATACAGGTAGCAAAGAGTGGGCTAATAGTGTTAGCCTTTTGCCGTCAGAGAGTATTTTGACCCACTTTTGAGATATGGTGTCCGAAAAGTAGGTCAAAATAAAAAATTCTCCAAATTTTACATATGAGTTATGAATTAAGAGTAGAATTTTCTCAGGAATCCGAATCTGCAAACCAAATTTCGATCCGACTTCCGGTTCCAAAGTTATGGCATGTCCGAAAAGTAGGTCAAAATAAAAATTCGCCAAATTTAACGTATGAGTTATGAATGAGGGGTAGAATTTTGTCAGGAATCCGAATCTTTAAATCAAATTTCGATCCGACTTCCGGTTTGAAAGTTATGGCGTTTTGAAATTTCGAGAAAAATCGATCTGATGTTATCCTGATAGAAAGTCAAAGAAAAAAGATTTTTTTGAAGTGTAAAATACGAGATATAGATTGAGTACAGCTTAAGATAATGAATTCCTATAAAAGAAGGGGACCTCAAAAGCTACCTAGTTTCAATATTTGGACACCAAAATGCCTAGGTCAAAATCGAGGTCAAATTCATAGTTTTTCCTTATTTTTGCGATTCTGGCACTACACTTTTAGGATTTGCTTCAAAATTTTGTATACAGGTAGCAAAGAGTGTGCTAATAGTGTTAGCCTTTTGCCGTCAGAGAGTATTTTGACCCACTTTTGAGATATGGTGTCCGTAAAGTAGGTCAAAATAAAATGAGTTATGAATTAAGGGTAGAATTTTCTCAGGAATCCGAATCTATAAACTGATTTTCGATCAAACTTCTGGTTAGATAGTTATAGCGGTTTGAAGTCTCGAAAAGTCGATATGATGATATCCCCATGTCATGCATATGGAGTCAAAGATAACATTCTTAAGAGTTGTCAAAATGTCTATATTCTAGCTGACTCAGCTTATAGTGAATGACTCAGCTTACAAGTAATTGGATGACTCAGCTTACAAGTAATTGGATGACTCAGCTTAGAACAAGTCTTAAATCTGGAGTCTTAAATTGAACTTGTTCAATTTACATGTCTAGTTATTATTATTATTCCACGCAAGATTTCTCCGCACACACCGACATGTCAGCTAATTAGCATATACCATCAACCTTGACATGTTCCTGGGCTACAGGGAAATGCCTTCATTTTTTTAATTAGCCCCTCCCTAATTAGCCAAGGTCAAATCGCAAATTTTTACATTTTTGCACGTACAAGGAGTAACCATTTTTATTTTTTACCCAAAATTTGCATATGCCATCCCTCACAATTGCCATTTTACATATATTCCGGGTTTTAGAATTGGGTGCCCCAAATTTGAAAAATGGGGCACCCCAGTGGGGCAAAATTTGAAAACTGTGTATCCGATCCCAATTCTGAGCAGATATAAAGAATAGAAGCCCCTGATTCCAAATATGCTTTCGGTTTTGGAATCCGACCTCTGAGTGACCTTGAAAAGGTCAACAAGTTCAAAAATCAAAATCGCTCAAATTGATTCCAAATTGGTACCATTGTATTACACTGTACTCGTATAGAGCAAATTAGGTCACCATTTTGACCTTGACCTTTGACATTGACCTTCAAATGACCTCAAAGTTGAAAACTAGGATTTTCATTCCAATTCTTTGCAAGTATGAAGTATGGATGTCCCTGATTCTAAATATGCTTGTGGTTTTGGAATTTGACCTCCGGGTGACCTTGAAAAGGTCAAAAAGGTTAAATTGCTAAAATTGCTCCAATTGATTCGAAATTGGTACCATTGTATTACACTGTATTAAACTAGAGTAAATTAGGTCAACATTTTGACCTTGACCTTTGACCTTCACCGTAAAATGACGTAAAACTTATTTCTTGTTTTACCTGTTCAAGGAGCCACTGTAGTTATTTTTTGCATGCCTTACTCTTCCCATTTAACATATCTCTAGGGTTTATAATTTGGGTGATTTTCATTTTCATTCCAATTCTTTCCTAATCTATATAGGGGGCACGCGACAGCGCTTTAAAGCGCGTCTGGGAGGATAAGGGTACGGGTTTTTAAATTGAGTGCCAAAATTTCAAAAATATGGCAAAATATGATATCAAATATGCTTTCGGTTTTGGAATTCGACCTCTGCGTGACCTTGAAAAAGGTCAATTGTGCACCGAATTTGCTGCTGCGGCGAGGAATGGCATTCTACGAAATCGCCCCCGTGGCGATTTTAAATGTCTAGTTCTTTTTCTTTTTTCTTTCTTTCTTCCTCCTAACAGATTTTCTCTCCAACTATAACATCTTACTTAATCCAACCTACATGGTTGCCTAGGGAATGTATCTGGCTTTCTGGGAAATTAGGTCAAATTTTTATCTAGGTCATAGGTCAAGAACTAGGTCAAATCTTGGATTTTCACTAATTCACCACTTTTCTCAGTCGTCTTTCAATATTTTCGCTCCGGGTTTTTTTCATCATGTACCTATGACAAAAAGCTAAATCCTTTGGGCAAATCGTTTTTTGATTACTCTTACCGATTTTGAGATATTGCGTCCGAAAAGTAGGTCAGAACAAAAAGTTCTCCAAATTCAAGGTGTGAGTTATGAAATATATGTAGAATTTTCCAAGGAATATCCGAATCTGCAAACCAAATGTCAATCCGACTTTCGGTTCGGAAGTTATGGCGTTTTGAAAGCTCAAAAATCGCTAAATTTGGTGCCTATGTTAAGTCAATAGGAAAAAAGACTTTTTCGAAGTGTAAATACAAGATATAGACTGAGTACAGCTTAAAGGAATATTCCTTGCCAGACCCTTTCTCTCTTGATATGGTAGCTATAATCATATATATAGTTTCCATATTTAGCAAAACATGGGAAAATGTTTTAATATGGTCAATATTGATCATTTAAAAATCTAGTGCTTATTTCCAGTGAGCTGCCATCTTTTAAGATTTCTTGCAGGAAGTGATGTCATCAACTCTCAACTTCTATAAACTTGCCCATGACAGTATAGGAAAGTAGCACAAAATCACTTCTAGACAAGTGATCATAACTTTCTGTGCAAAAATATTTTCAGGGCTTGTCAACTTAGAATAAAAGAAGAGATTTTCAGAAGGATTAAATAAGATACAAAGTTGAAAAAGAATATTTAGCTGGTTTTGTAATTCTTAATAGTCCTCACCTAATGCTATATGCAAAGTTGAGAGTCAATGACATCACTTCCTTTGTGAAATTTTAAAAGATGGCAGCTTACTGGAATTGAGCATCACATTTCTAAGTGATCAAATTTGACCATATAAAAACATTTTTGCATGTTTTGCTAAACATGGCAAGCATATATATGGTTATAGCTACCATATGAGGAGAGAGATGGTTTGGCAAGGAATATTCCTTTAACATAATGAATGCTTATAAAAGAAGGCGACTTCTAAAGCTACATAGCTTCAAAATGCCTAGGTCAAAATCTAGGTCAAATTCATAGTTTTTCCTTATTTTTACGATTCTGACACTACACTTTAATAATTTACTTCAAAATTTTGTATACAGGTAGCAAAGAGTGTGCTTATAGTGTTTAACCTTTTGCCGTCAGAAAGTATTTTGACCCACTTTTGAGATATGGTGTCTGAAAAGTAGGTCAAAATTGAACTTGTTCAATTTACATGTCTAGTTATGTTTGTAAATGAAAGAAACATTCAGAAATGTCATATTTATATTCCCTTTCGCAATCTTTAAGTAAGACTTAATAAAGGGTCAAGATCCTGACATCATCAACTTTTATTTTGTATACAATTTGTAAGTTCCATTCTTCATAACACTTGACTCCACTGGCTTCCCTACTAGAAAGTTGCCCTTAATTAAATGGTATTAGTATTGTATTGTGTAGTATTGTCTTGAGTCAAGACAGCCTAGTTTGTACATAGACTAATGTGTCATGTTTTGATACAATTGTCAATAAAAGAAATATATATAAATGGAATAAATCTTTCAATGAATTGTTATTTCATGTTTGCAGACATTTGGTATAATCTTGACATTTACGCTGAGTGCGCTGGTGCTGAAATCAGGGGCAATAACTGGGAACATGACACTTGTTGGTGCATTGGTACTAGGAACAATAATGACAGGTAGGTCTTGCTATTAAATCAACTAAAACCTTAAAGACATACGGCTAACTTGGCAAATCAAAATGCCAAGGGGACAAGCCAAGGCAAATCAAAATGCCAGGGGGACAAGCCAAGGCAAATCAAAATGCCAGGGGGACAAGCCAAGGCAAATCAAAATGCCAGGGGGACAAGCCAAGGCATATCAAAATGCCAGGGGTACAAGCCAAGGCATATCAAAATGCCAGGGGGACAAGCCTAGGCAAATCAAAATGCCAGGGGGACAAGCCAAGGCAAATCAAAATGCCAGGGGGACAAGCCAAGGCAAATCAAAATGCTAGGGGGACAATCCAAGGCAAATCAAAATGCCAAGGCAAATCAAAATGCCAGGGGGACAAGCCAAGGCAAATCAAAATGCCAGGGGGACAAGCCAAGGCAAATCAAAATACCAGGGGGACAAGCCAAGGCAAATCAAAATGCCAGGGGGACAAGCCAAGGCAAATCAAAATGCCAGGGGGACAAGCCAAGGCATTTAAAATGCCAGGGGTACAAGCCAAACAGTTAGATTGGCAGGTGTTAACATCAAGACAATTGAAATCCATGGCAGATTAAAAGTTGAGACTTCAAAATATTGACATTGATAGGTGTTCAGATTATTAAAGGGAGTTTTGATTTACAGATTTTACTATTTATTTGAATCTAATAATTTCATGTATACAATAGCAATACCTTTAAATGGGTAATTAAATAAGAATACTACTAATCATTTAGCACTATTAAAATCATTTAACAGTCATTTGCAAAGAAAGGAGTCGGTCAATATGTTTACATATAACTTGTAGCATTAACCAAGTTCTGTTTTGCATCATACTATGTCTGGTATTTATTGATTAGTTTATGTTTTTCATAACAACAATAAATTCCTGTAGTGTGTGTGGGTGTAAAACAATATTTCCTCAGTTATATATAATATGTGGAATGTTTAACTATAATCCATTGTCTGTATACTATAAATAAATGTATTGATCTGAAGTTGTGTCACACAATTAATTGATCTCAATTGTTGCAGAAATAAACCCACAGAGACAAAGTAATTGGAATAATTAAAATAGATAATAATTTTTTTCATTTGTTTGTACTTGTTTCCTTCTTGATTGCTTTTTATTTAAGTATTTTATATTTATTTCAATTTATATCTTTGCTTCTATTTTCAGCAATTATCAAACCTGATCTCAGAAGGCAAAGGGCTGGAGAGGTGGTGAGTACATTAACCCCCCCCCCCTCGAAAAAAAAACATTCACAAAAACAGTTCCCCAAGTCGAACCACTGCCTTCTCCTCTTTGACATTGGGGCTTTATCACTCTATAAAGCTCAATAAAGTTTCAGACTAAGGGAGGTCGACAATAAAGGGTTTTTATCAAGGTTAAAAGTGTTACATATAAAGGGTAGTTTTAAAAATGTGTTTTGAAAAGATGCATACTGGTAACTGTTTTACAGATAGTATAGTTGGATTTAGGGATTATTACTCATAATATATAATGAATATATATGAATCTATTTAAGTCAGGTAAAGGAGTGGTATCGATATGGTAAACTTTTTGAACACACGTTTCTCTTAAACCAGTCATCAAAACATTCTGAAAATTGTACACATCATCAATTTAATTTGGATGGTAACATTATAATCTGAAATATATATATTTACTTTTCTCTATATTGTTTTAGAAAACACATCAGACACTTCTTTTGTACTTGGTATCATATGTTCGGAATGAAATGAAACATCTATCCGAACCTCATTGGAACAAAACGACATAAACCTAACGTTAAATATTGTAATTGTACAAAGGAAAGTTTGGTTGATTTTAAAAAAGTATCATGTTAATGAAAAGGTTTATCTTAATTTTTATCTATTTTGGGGGTTTTGTTTTAAGTTTTTGCATATTTTTTGTTAAATCAACCAAAATTTCCTTTGTATAACTATAATATTGAGAGGCCTAAGAAAATGTTGTATATCCTATTTTATTCGATCAAGGTTCGGAATGACATTTCATTTCATTCTCAAGAATTGGTAGGAAGGAACAAAAAACAATTGCACTAAAAAACAAAAAAAGTTAACAAAAACAGTTATAAAAAATATTAATATAAATAATCTTCGCATTGAAATGTTGTCAATCAGTCAACATTACATAAAGGACCATGTTTGTTTACAAAATGTTTTTAATTATTGGTTTAAGAGAAAAACATTGTTGGATTCAGTTCACCATATCGATACCTATCCTTTATCAATCTATCACTTTCTATATTCACATGGAGCACATGGAGTTATAGTTCAATTATGACTTCAGTACGGATAACTATGTAGGCTATATTATTTTCACATTAATGTCTTTTTGATGGCAGCTAATGATGGTGTCATATAATGTTAATATTGACATGATAATTTCATTCAACATATTGACATGATGATGTCATACAATATATTGGCTTGATGATGTCATACAATATATTGACATGATGATGTCACACAATATATTGGCTTGATGATGTCATACAATATATTGACATGATGTTGTCATACAATATATTGGCATGACCAATGCTTTTCTTATCTTTAAGATCTTCGAAATGTATGGAATAAGAATTTGTAAGTGAAACTAGTAGATGCATCCTCATTTTGTTCATTATGTCTGTGTTAGATCAGTAGATTATGAAAAATAAGTTTGAAGTTTCAGAAACATGTAAACTGATGATGTTTAATTAGAATGTGGAAATGACATCAAACATAAGATTAAGTTTACATAGAAGTACTAGAAATATATGTTAGTAGTCTTATAATTTATTACAATTTATAATTTTGTTGAAATTGTTGTCAAAGCTACAAGTACCCTGTATGCTAGCTAGATAAATTAGCATTATTATCAGAATGCCTAATTTGAAAAAATAAATTACAAATTAAATATGTATTATCAGTTTATTTTGTATCAAAATTGCTAAAAATGAAGCTATTTGTTGTGAAATATATTACGTTCAAGTAATCTAGATAATATATATATAATATATGCCAAATAATTTATTTATTTAACGGGTTATTTCAAAATAGATTCTAGGATACCTTTATGTACCCTAATCCCTTTAAAACATAGATTAGTTTAGATTTGATCGTAAGCTTTCACAAATGAGATGAGTTTTATTATTTGAATTTTGAAAATTAATTTTATTTCATTAACCTAAAACTTGGTCTTAAATGCTGCCATTCTATTTCTGACTTCTCATACATAAAATGACACACACATTTTCTATTATGTATGTTCTTTAAAGCCATTGTTTATGTTACAGGAACTGGAAGAGAATACAATGATCAAACTCGACCCAGGCAAAGAGTATATAGTTGATAAAGAGAGTCAGATTTAGACAAACCACATGACAGTGAACACAACAATGCAGAATGAAGAAAGTCTGGAACTAGAAAGGAACATATTTATGAGGAGAAACAAATCTAAACCACCGCAATGAGAGGTTATATACAGAATAAAGAATGTCAAGATATAATAAGGAACATACAATAATATACTGAGACCAGGCAGGGCCTGTATACAGGGTGACTCAAAAATGCAATCTTTAAATTGATTTTGGATGGATTTTCTTATTATGTTTGACTCTTCTTGGGTTATCATGTGTAGATACAGTGTTTTAGTGGCGCAACCAGTATTCATATATTGATATATTGAAGATTGAAGACATCCAAAAACGTTGTCTGATTTTTGGATTTATATTATTTCTGGATTGCTTTCAGTTTTCTTCACATTTTCACTGATCCTATTTATGCATTTTTGGACTATAATGATGAATTCGCTTGATAAGCAGTTTGAGATGAAATGGCATTTTAGCAACACCAGATAAAAAAAACATAATTTCAAGAAATTGAGAAAGGTATTCCAAAATTAGAAAGTTGCATTTTTGGTAACTCTGTAATTTATAAGGAGACGACATCTACATTTGCAACATGACATTTAATATTTAATACAATCAAAGAATTAAAGAACTTAAGACAAGCACTTTCATATTTAGAATTTTAAGCTGAAAATGTACTGCAACATGTGCAATCGATAAATAATGTATATTTGCCAGTTATTTATCATCTCTTGGGTAAGATTAAAGCATGACTCTGAAGGAGTGTGCTTGACTAAATTCAAATGTATATCAATCTTCAAAAGCTTTACATTATTTTTTGCATTTTATGCCAAATACCCTCATGGAGATGTCATATTTAGGTTGTGTGGGTAAATGGACTGCAATTGATAAATAAAGTGCACATGTATATTTGCCAGTTATTTATCATCCCTTGGGTAAGATTAAAGCATGACCAAATGTAAATGTATATCAATCTTCAAAAGCTTTACATTATTTTTTGCATTTTATTCCAAATACCCTCATGGAGATGTCATATTTAGGTTGTGTGGGTAAATGGACTGCAATTGATAAATAAAGTGCACATGTATATTTGCCAGTTATTTATCATCCCTTGGGTAAGATTAAAGCATGACCAAATGTAAATGTATATCAATCTTCAAAAGCTTTACATTATTTTTTGCATTTTATTCCAAATACCCTCATGGAGATGTCATATTTAGGTTGTGTGGGTAAATGGACTGCAATTGATAAATAAAGTGCACATGTATATTTGCCAGTTATTTATCATCCCTTGGGTAAGATTAAAGCATGACCAAATGTAAATGTATATCAATCTTCAAAAGCTTTACATTATTTTTTGCATTTTATTCCAAATACCCTCATGGAGATGTCACATTTAGGTTGATAAGCAGATTGATGAAATGGCATTTTAGCAAGCCTATACCAGATAAAAAATGTAAGCTGAAAATGTACTACAATTGATAAATAAATTGCACATGTTATTTGCCAGTTATTTATCATCACTTGGGTAAGATTAAAGCATGACCAAATGTAAATGTATATCAATCTTCAAAAGCTTTACATTATTTTTTGCATTTTATTCCAAATACCCTCATGGAGATGTCATATTTAGGTTGTGTGGGTTTGCCATTGAATACTTTTTGGCAGACAGCAGTACAAGACATGGATACCATGGGCAAAACAAGTAGTTTTACAGCAATATATACTCCATTACCCCAAATACAAAATTGATTAATTTATTAAAAACTTGATAGCAAATTTTAGGCACATGGTGGCGAATGGTTAGCCCACATGGCTAATGTGACAGCTCAATATGATTACAGTATTTCAAGTGGATATGTACAGATGTATGATACAATCACATCCGCATAATTGTGACTATCAAAATCTGTGAAAATTGGAATCCTTAATATAGTTTACAGTTCTTGCATTTCAAGTGTATATGTATGCTACAATCAAGTCCGCATAATTATGACTATTAAAATCAAGGCCCTGTTGTTAAAGTAAATAAGGGGGCATCCAGGGCCTTGAAGCAAGGCTTCAAAAATCCCTTTTAAAAGTTTCATTATTCATATTATAATAGTTTATCACATTTCATATTTATTTACAAAGCTGTATGTACTTACTAGAGCTGCATAATCCAAAAGTTGTACTGAATCCTCTCCACAGACAAGCTGTCTTAAATTCAATGTACTAAAATTGATCTCCTATTTGATGAGAAAATGTTACAATCATACCATTAAGACTTTATTATTTTAATATTATTGTTTGTATTAGTTGAACATTATGATGAAAATGTTAATGTTATTTTGCAAAAGTTATTTTGTTAAGGGTAAGCAGAAAATCTTAGTTCATTGAAATTAATTAAAGGAATATTCCTTGCCAGATAATTCTCTCCTGATATGGTGGCTTGAATAAACTTTGCACATTATGCAAAACATGACAAAATATTTTGATATGGTCAATATTGACAAATTGAAAATGTAGTGCTTATTTTTAGTATTCTGCATTATTTCCATAGTAATGCTAAATGTAAAATAGAGAGTCAATGACATCACTTCCTGTCTAAAATGATAAAAGATGGCAGCCTACTTGAAATTAACAGTTCATTTTTAAATGATCAATACTGACCATATCAAAACATTTTCACATGTTTTGCTCTCTATGAAAAGTGTCTATATGGTTATAGATACCATATCAGGAGGGGAATGGACTGGCAAGGAGTATTCCTTTAAGAATAAGTATGTATGTATATTACATAAGTGTTTTGTACTGAGTGGTTTTGTATGCAGTGTTTATACTGAGGGAAATATGCTAATGAATGGGTCACATTTGCTCCGATTCATCAGCCAGCGCACAGCTGATTGAGTATTTTGTTCAAAATTGTATACAGTTTTGACCAGAATACTCAAACGACCGGGGGGGGGGGGGCTAATTGGGCATTGTTACTCTAACCACATTTCGAGCCAAGTTGCAAAAATGTGTCAACCAAAAAATACGGCACCATTTCTCGTTGAAAAGCTGTATTTCATGTTTTAGTAAAAATGTGCCAATTGAATAAATGTAATTGTGCTATTGATTGATGAGGGTGCCCAATGATTTGTAAAATAGCCATTTTTATGTGCATTTAACCCTGCCCTCCTTATACATTATAAGTATACGTGTTGATTTTGTTTTGACTACTAGTACATTTTATGTATATATTTATGTTGTTACATTTGCACCTTTGGGATATATATGAAAGGAGTACTTTGGTATATTATTTGCTCTGCCATATCTGTATGTTATTAATATTATTAACTGTTCACTTAATGGGTGTACGGATTAAGTACAATGATCACATCCTATTTTGAAATATAAAAACAAGAACTGGTTTAGTAATTGTTGACTTCTGTTCAATTCTAATGAACTTCAAGAAATTGACGCATGAACAAGGCACTAACCTACTATTATATGGGCAGCTCATTTAAATATGAATAGTACCTGCCACTATTTCATTCATATTTAAATGAGTTGGTTAAACAATAGTAGGTTAATCTTGTAGCCAACAGCCATTAGTTGTATTTGTGGATACAGGCTTAGTTAGGTATAGTGACATCACAAAAGCTGACGAAGCTTAATATTTGAAACTTGCAAAACCAACTTGCATCATTGGGGTTCAAGACTCTGTATAGATGGCATCACTCTGCTTGTTCTATTGGATGTAAATGTCCATGAAACCTAAGTTCCACTAAATTCAAACACGCCAAGTGTGTCTCAGCCAATCTGCTAGAGTATTTCAATGCATTAATTCAAGGTCAATTGAGCAGAAACATTATTTTAAAGTGAATTTTGGTTTCATAATGAACTAAGCAGTGCCATACATATGGGTTTCTGTGTTGATGGGAGCGGGTTAAAAGAGTGACGTCATAACTCTGATTACAGAGCAGTATGGTTTAGAGAATTGGGCAATGTCTGAAGGACGCGATTGTACATCGCGATATAGCTGCACCCACTTTGTCTTTATTCATCTCTCGCAAACGGCAGATAAAGAGGGCCTCTAGCTTACCAGAATAGGGATAGTATAATATATTTAAATTGCAACAAAGAATCTTTATTGAATCCATACATTCACCTGACATGAACCCCAGGCATCCCAAAAGAATTATTATTTAGCTTCATCTCTACTGAGTTTTTGTATTACTGCTTAATAGTGTTTTACTCTTTGTATATTTTTTTGTTAATAATGTGGCAAAATGCAACAAAAATGTCACCACTGGGGTTAATTCAATCCAAAGGATACTAGGTACAGTATTTATTTTAACTAAAAATCACTTTCAAAAGTGGTATACCATGGAATTTACATGTTTATACACTTGTATATACGTAAATCATTGTTCCTATGCTGTAGGATGGTACCATCTTTTGCCAGTGTACAACTACCTTTAATTGATTAGTAGTGTAAACACATCATTGATTATGGTGATACCTAGCTCCTTAGGATGGTTCTTAGAATCCTGTTTCTGCATCAATTTCAACGCCATCTATTATTTCCCTAGGCGCTGGGCCGCCATCTTCCTCACTGAGGCTTGTGTCAGTAAATACTTGAGAGTTCAGATACATTCCCAGTGGGCTTTTTATGAGGAACTCTGCCACTTTCGCACGAGTTGATATTGGACTTGATTCCACTGCCATTTCAAAATGCTCATTGACAACCTGTTGGAGAAGTTTAGTATCTCTAACAACAGCTCCTGTGTTATACACAGTAAAGTTGTTAAAAGGTCTCGTGGAAATGTCAGGACTGGCTATCAGATCGATTGCATTCATATCAAGCTGATCGTTTAGTTCGTCATCGTGAGCGTATATATCTCGTAGGAATGTCTGGGTGGATGCTTGTCTATGGCCAATGGGTACTAACATTATCAACACTGTCCCAATGCACATGAGGAATGTAGCAAAGAAGAATCCCGTGTTTGAGTGCCACTGATTTAGATATTCTGAAGTATAAAAACAGTAGAGTTGAGTTCACATAGAAATTCCTACTTCAGAGACAGGCTTCGCCGACATTCATTAGTTTATACAACTGACAATATATTACAACAGTTGAAATGACTGTACAACCATTGAAAACCATTGGTGTATTTGTGCTATAAGGGTTCGTATAAGGATAACGGTAGACTGTTTCACAGTGCCTCGTAGGCGTGTTTTTGTTTTTATAAGATAATTTGTCATGTGAATCTCAACCACGTAAAACTAAAATGTTACATTTATTGAATGATCTACAATGTATATTCAACCATTGAATTTTCATTGGAGAAAATGCAAGGATCTACAATGTATATTCAACCATTGAATTTTCATTTGAGAAAATGCAAGGATCTACATTCTACAATGTATATTCAACCATTGAATTTTCATTCGAGAAAATGCAAGGATCTACAATGGTTTTTCGACTATTGGATTTTCATTGGAAAAAATCCAATTACATTCATTCATGAGTCACTTTCTTTGGGATATTGTTAAAAACCTGTCAAAGTGAACACTTTTTGCCGGTCCCAATTTCTTATGCTCATATATATAGATATATGAAGAAGACTTTAAATGTGAACACTTGCTATTCCAAGTGGCGTTGGGTTTTACTGAATAAGTTCTGTGCATAATTTTACCTGTTGTTGGCAGACCAAGAAGCACCGGTATGGCTTGAGCTAATTGGACAAAGCCCCACGCCCTCTCCATAAGTATGAACCTCACGACTTCGTACGTGTAGACCTTCAAGGTATATGCATACGACCCGCAGAATATACCATACACACACGCAATCACTACACACCCGTGAAAGCAACTCACCAAAGACAAAAAAGCTGTAATTCAACAAAAATCATTTTAGTACAAGGAGATATTATGGGCTTTGGCTTTCATTTGATACCCCACTTAGGTAGCAACACACTGGAATGGTCGAATGGATTGGATTATTGGCCATTTACCTTTCATAAGAGTTAATGTGGGGTTTAAGCTAGATAAATTAGTCGTACTGGTTCTTAGGAGAACTAATTTCACTTAATCACCTTCGATAGAAGAACAATCATGTGACATAAAAAAAAAACTATCGAATTTGAAGTTAAGGTTTATCTTGAAGACTTTGATGTGCACTGTTCGGTCACGGAAGGCAAGTTAGAATTGATATTCATAACAAATGATAGATGTTACATTACATAATGGAATAATAACAATTTTAAGAATCCATCTAATATAGCTTCTCTAGTCTCATTGCCAATTACGTTACCTCTGCCTGGCTTGATTATATAATAACATGATAGGTTGTTGACTCGCATTAATAATAACGTGGGGCTGAGGACCGTATGTATCAGTATTTGTTCGAATTCGTTGATAAGTTAAGTAGTCGATGCTTTTTAAAAAAATTAGCATGCGAATACTAAGGCACATTACCCGCCGTCTGGGCTTTTTTAACTGAGGATTCAAAAGGATTATCCCACCGAACCGTCCGTCCGTCTGTCTGTTTATTCGTCCAGTCGTCCGTTCGTTCGTCTGTCCGGGCAATAACTCAAATGCCGGTTGACAAACTGGGTTCAAATTTGATAAGCTAATGCCTTATGGGGTTAGGACCTCTGCTTGACAAGAATTTCCAAGATGGCCGCTGATTTCAAAATGGCCGACATTTTTAATAAATGAAATCTTTAATAACTCAAATATTCGTCAACGGATTTGATTCAATTTTTTTTGCTAGTGCCCTAGGGGACAAAGAGCTCTGCTCAGCAGTGGATTTTAAGATGATCGCTGTTCTTAAAAGGACCGCAATCTTTCGTTAACAATTTTATCTTTGATAGCTCAAATACCAGTCAACACATTTGGCTCACATTTCGTATACCGATGCCCTCGGGACAAGTGACTGTTGGAGAAGGAATTTGAAATGGCAAACATTTTCTGTTTTCTAATTAACGTATAACCCGATTCGAATTCTGTCCTATTTTTGATAACGTCCCATGTTACATTTAGTTTTGTCATATCACTGCACTTGAACGGAGAAATTCAGCTTAGTGTATGTTCGTCAGAGAGTGAACACATTTGCCTTTTACATTGTTGAGTTTTGGTTATCCATAAAACAATCAACATTAAACTAATCGACTTAAAAACTACTCCCGGGGCTGATGTTTATTGATCTCAGAAACGTATATTCCTCATGTTCCTGGGTAACTTGTTTTCTTGTAAATGATATCTGGCATGACATCTTTATTTATTAACTAAGTATGCGATACAGATAATCCTGTAGTAGTCTAGGTGATTAGAACATATTTGTTTCTCAATAAATGACATTATTTTCACATTAAACTGGCAAAAAGTACTATCAATATTCCATCAATGCAATTGGGGTTCCCGAAAGATATTTTATCCATTCTATTTTCCAAAACTTCATAATGGCATGAACGTACTGTTTCGAGATGTACTTAACATCCCATGTGACATCGACTTCACATTGCGAAACATCACTTGTACCATATCTATTGGATCGTTGTGACATCAAGCTATGTTTGAAAGTGATATCCAGGCACGATATGTGATATTACAATGATTAGGGAGCTTAAGCTTGCATATAAGATCGAAACGCCAACCTGTACGTATGACCAATCGCCCCTACAAATGCATCGCTAAGATAACTTCCGTTCACGTTTAGGTTGTGAAAATGGTGCATGCTTAAACTCCCTATTATATCTTGTAGACGGACTGAAGTTACGAAATGACAGTTTCGAGTTATACTTGGCTATATCAAATGATATCGAATTTGATACTTGTAATAGTTTAACAAATCCTATTCATAATAAATTGACGAGATGGAATGGTATGAAATTCCTAGGACGCCTAATTAAGGAGCTGGTAACACAATATAGTGCAGCGATATTTGACCTCATATTTACATACCTACACATGTCCAATCTTTTTACAATAGCCGTTTGATATTCTTCGGGGTTTTGGGCTGGATTATGCATTTCATTAGCAGGGGTCAAAATATTAGTAAAAACGAAATCTCCCTTTTTAGAATTTAGAGTACATACTGCTGCAGAAAATTCTATGAAACAAATTTGAGTATATGTTTTAGGTTTCTCGACTATAAATTTGATGTTATTTTTCTCAGAAATACAAGAAAATTACGTAATCAGCACATCAACATTTTTAATTATTATTATAAATAATCAAAATATAATGAGCACATTTATGTTATTACACTAATTAACCACGAAAAATGACATTGAAATTAGAATTGATTTTGACATAATGATAACCCAATTGCAATTTATTGTTAATATACTTACATCAACGTCTTGAGTCTTATAAAATATGTAAAAATTCGAATGAAAATATTTACGTTTTTTGAACCCTTGTAATGAGAGGCATATTTCGACCCAAAAGCCCGACTTTTTTCAGCAAACGGCATTTTAAAAGAATCACGACATATGGACCTCCTTGAATATTGGTTCAAATGTTGCTGCATTATATTGTTTTACGGATTCTTCATCATTCGGAGTCATACCATGGACTATGAATTTCATAGACAAGAACAGCATATTTTCAGAAAATTAAAAAATCTACAAATGAGATGTTCTGCTCTCAATACTTTTAACAAGGCATTAGCATGCAAAATATCACCACCTGACATTTGTCACAGACGCCGAACGTCAAACGCCGAACGCCGTCCACAAAAAAATGTTGGAGACTAACAGTTCACCACTTCCACTTGTGGTGTTGACATTAAACCATACTTGTTGAATATGATTACCTACCTATGGAAACAGCACAGACAAAAACTGATAATGCACAGATATACTGCCTTCCGATATGGTGAGACATCCCACCCTTTGTTAGCAAACAGCCGGACGTCATGCACCCAGTCACAAATGACACTCCTATTGTACAAAGCACAGCAATGCGTTCATCATCTGACGTTAGGATTGACGTTGACCTTGGCTGTAGAAGAAGCACAAAATAAATTTAATCATATTAGCTGCATATTCCCATCATAAGTTTGGGAACCGGAATCACTTATCAAACCCCGTTTATGCTTCAAAACATTCAATAATTGACAAAGTTGATATGCTTTTCAAAGAAAACTACTTCGGAAGTGTGCATTTGAAAGCTGTTAAAGCCCGTTTATGTGTGAATCTTTATTTTGTTCCTTTATTACAAGAGTCCAGAAATGGCAAATTTGATGATTTTCTTAATTGCCAATATAAACAGATTTAACACGTGATCCAGAATTGTTGTTAAACTTAAGTCATTAAGTTGGGGTGAAGTACTTAAGTATCGATACAAATAACTCGGAAAATATCCATTGAAGCCAATTTTCTCTTTTACATCAGGTTTCTATCTTGATGGCAGACAGTGACATTTAGTCTGTGTTTACTATTTTGTTTTGTATCTAGCTTGTGCGGTCAATGCAACCTGATATATTAATGAAGAATGTTGATCTCCTTAATGCTCATCAATCTTTGATAAAACAAATTCTCAAGAAAGCAAATTATGTTTGCATAGCATCTCGCAATATTGCAGTAATATAGATAGGAAAACACAAGTTAAATGACCATGCGTGATGCTAGCATTCACGAATTCAATTGACGACTGACGGTTTAACATCCTATTTTATGGCAAACTCATTTGTATATGAATAGTCCCTATTCCATTCGCATTTAAATTAGTTAGCCATAAATAATAGTTTAAACCGCCAACAGGTGGTTGAATTCGGTCGAATTCAGTGTATAATTGAACCAGTACCCGGGGAAATATATTTTGCAAAAATGTTATTGTTCACTTCCATAAATGAACCGTTTTGTTTTCTTGTGCTATGTAATTAGTCTACTCATAGATTTCAGCGTAATATCCGTTATGAACGATGTGACAGTGTCTGTGTTTTATGTAAATATATGGCCAAACGACACGAATTATTCGTGTGAAAAATAACGCTCGTAACTGAGACATTACGCTTGCAATTATTGTATTCTGTATACGTTTTGGCCAACAATACAGCGACGTATAAGATATGCAAAACGTATAAGATATGCAAAATACGTATAAGATATGCAAAACGTATAAGATATGCAAAATACTTATAAGATATGCAAAACGTATAAGATATGCAAAACGTATAAGATATGCAAAACGTATAAGATATGCAAAATACGTATAAGATATGCAAAACGTATAAGATATGCAAAAACGTGGCTTTTCCATGCTTTTGTATCTGGACGTTTGTTCATTGTTTTTCTCTGTCTTTGCAATGTATCTCTAAGAATTTAAATTTATTTTTAGTTGAAGCAAATATTAAAAATGCATTTTAACGTCTCTAATAACCAATACTAAGGTCCTTGTGTACAATGAAGCGTTTGGACATGCATAGAGAACCGAACACTTACCAGATAAAAGAAAGGTATAAACACGCCCCACGAAATAATCATAACTGCAAACAAAAGTATCTGTAACGATTTTAAGTGTAAACATTTTGCGTCAAAATAGGGTGGTTTTTCGGCTTGTCTTTCTTTTCTCGGTCTTTTTGCTTTTTGTCGCTTAAGGTGAAGTATAAGCCGACGTCTTGGATGGTACAAGGACACCGATCGATAAAAGGCCCCGGCTAAAATCACTAGACATGCTGCTCCAGTAGCGACCTGGAAGCTCCTTAGCCACCCTGCGAAGCTGAAAATGTAAATCAATGTACTTTTGATTAATCGATTCATTGTGTCATTGAGATTGTGTAGTTTTTCGTCAAGTAATTGTTTTTGCCTCGGATTTGAGGTAAACAGAATTTGTTTGATCGTTAAATAAGTTCATTGGTTTGTTTTAAGTTTTCCCTGATCATCCAGGGACCTTTCGATTTTTATTAGTAATTCTAGAATATAATTACTGCAACTAAATGTTCATCATATTATCTATTGTAATATGTAGTATAGTATGAATTTCCCATCAATATTACTAATAGCCCTAGATGAGCTCTACCTGAATAGTTTTGTCACCAGAGAAGGTACAACTGCTATACCCAAACCCCCGCTGGAAGTCACAAAAATCTCTGCAAAATTTCGTCTCACTTTAAAATATCGACCAACCATAGTATTTCCAGTTGTCATGGCAACTGATGTCCCCAATGCTATCACTGTGGAACTGATGAAAATTTCATGTAGTTTAGTTGAGAAACCAAGAAATAGGAACCCCAATGACAAGATTAGTCCGCCGATGACAGCGTAGAGACGCGTGCTTTTCCTTTGGCAGATGGCGATCACCAGAGGCTGTATGAGAAAATGGAAAGAATAGCTCAAACTAGCTAGCCACGCTGGAAATTCAAAGACGAACATTCAAAATCATATAGCAGGTAATAATCATACAGGTCCATTGGCGTTCCGTACTACAACGTCTTACATTATTCCGATTGATAAAGAAAAAATGTCTATAGTAAATTAGTAAATGCAATACGCTCGTTCATGCAGCTCTAGATATACTCTAGATCTACTCTAGATCAGCGTTACGTAATGAAAGTGGGATGCTTTTGATTAGATATACACAAATAGATGCGAAAATGACAATGTAAATTATCTTAAGTGCAGTTTGGGGATAGGTTATCTCCGCTGTTGTAGCGATATAAGTAATCGACACCCGTATATCATCTAAGTAAGCCTGAAAACATTGTCTAAGTACCTTCTTCAGTTAGGAATTGATGGCCTCTCGAGTCACTGATTACGTAGAGAAAAGGGTCGTAACTCTTTTGACATATCTATTAGAGTTACTAATACATCCTGCAGTTTGCGTGACTATTTTCTATAGATTGCAATTAATGATGCATATGGCAATCAAAATAAATATCAAGATTCTTGGGACAACCTGTGACCGAATTATACTAAAGGAGAGGTTTTACGTCAGACCTTATTAGGATGGCTTCTGTCCTCCTTCGTTCAACAGGTTATCGTATACTTATTCAATTACCTTTTGTAACGTCGTTATTCTATGGTTAAGATTACATACATTCTTCGGAATTTATATATCCCAGAAATCACGTCTCTATTTTTGTAAAGTGCTTATTCTGAAAATTGTCTCAGTCAGAATCGTGACTAAATATTTCACATTGTGAAAATAATCATAGGAATTGTATTCCATTTGTATCATGGGATTAGTACACACATGTGCCTACTAGAATCGCATTCTACGACCTAAAATGAAGATCATTGGATTTGTAGCACAGAATTTAGATGACATGTTTCTATATCCCAGAATAATCAAAATACTCGATTACGAATTGCATGTTACTCCTCGTTGTCTAATTTATGTAGCAAACATCAATAACAATATCGTTACAGTTAGTCGTGAATACTTTAATTCCGTAAATATCTGTGGTAAAATAGCAAATATCCATTTCCGAGTGCAAAAACATATTAAGTAATCATCATTTGGAATCAATCGCAGATTACCATGAACAATTGGGTTTGCTTTTTTCAAATGAGATTCGCTTTCAAAAAATGATACGACTTTGCCGATAATCAAAAACGAAACGGTTTATTCTTATAAACGTTAATATTGATACATCTTGACAATTTAATGCTCCGGTCATTATCATTTAAAAATCATGTTTGATAATTACATATTTTAAATGTTTACATTTTACATATTTCTCACAGAAATTTCTTAGAAGTTTCAAACTAAACAGTTCTGTGTTTTAAAAGGATTACAACTTGCAATTACACGGGTTACTAGAGTATCCGCGTATATTGAGTATGACCGGTTCTAAGCTTACGAGTGTGACCGTATTTCTGTTCCTATAAACAGACGAGGTGAGTACTTGCTTTTTATGAACACTTTCGAACGTTTTCTTTTTATCCTACTTGGTCAATGAATGATACTTGGTATACTTATAATGCCAGGCATATCACAAGGGGCCTTAATCAAGAGAAAACGTATTAATATTAGATTGAAGCCGTAAAATCCTAGTTTCCAGCATCTTTGATCAGTTTTTGTGTAACACAACGCAACTCCGAAGAGGATGACACATCTTATGTATAATATATAGCTAGATCTACGAATTAGTCATGAATATTTTAAATAATTTAGCCTGCTCTGTCCAAATATGATACATCTTTGAATTTTTGAGAATACGAATGTCACTGGTGCCCCATTATTGGAGAATACGGTTGTGAAACAATCAGTGGGCCGTGTTACACTCGTTTCCATGACATTTCATAAGCGTATCCTCTGGGAAAAGATAAATCCTTCTCTTGCTCACTCTACGGGGGATCATATAAACTGAGATTTGGAGATCTTGTTCAGGTTAGCCATAAAAAGGTTTGGGATTTGTTTTTTTCTACTGTGATATTAATGATTTGGCTCTAAGGCGAGAAATCTGTACTTTCTGATTGATATTCCATTATGAACAGTTACATTGCTAAAATAGCTCATGTTTAACATTTTTTTGTTACATTACTATTAAATACAACATAAACTATATTCAACAAACACAATTTCAAAAAGGATAATATAGAATTTAACCTTTATTTTCCATTTTTAAGCAGCTGTGCCTCTCATGACTTTCCAAAACAGGTCATATTCGTAGCCTAAGAACCGGTCATACTCCATATACGTGGAAACTCTAGTAGCCCGTGAATTAGATATAGGGTTTGGCCCTTAGACAAGTTACCTTTTAGCATCTATTTAAATGGGTCTCAATCATAGAATTTCCGTAGAGGAGATGCGTTGAGTATCGGAGTTTATTATGTCACCACCAAGAAGTGGTGACATATTGTGGTGGTCTCCGTTTTTTTGGTGGCGGCGGTTGGTGGTTGGCGATCGGCGGGTGGCGGGCGGCGGTTGACATCTGTAACAAATTCTTAAATTTTCAAATAACTTAGCAAATACTGTTTAGACTAACTTCAATTTTTTTTCCAAATCATCTACAAGTTTTCAGAAGTTCAAATCTGACTTTAAATTTTAAGATTTGACCTTCAATGACCTTTTCAAGGTCAACAAAGGTTAAAAAGGTCAAAAAGGTATTTTTCAACTTGCTTCAAAGTTCATTTTTTCAAAATTATCTACAAGTAATCAGAAGTTCAAATATGACTTTGGATTCAAGATTTGACCTTCAATGACCTTTCTCAAGGCCAAAGAAAGGTCATAAAGGTATTTTTCAACTTGCTTCAAATTGACCAATTTTTTTCAACATCATCTCCAAGTTCTCGAAAGTTCAAATCTGACTATAGATTTGGCCTTCAATGGCATTCCCAAGGTCAAAAATGCTTTGATCTTCAATGACCTTCTCAAGGTCAAACATGTCTTTTTTCAACTTGCTTCAAATTGATCAATTTTTTTCAAAATCATCTAAAAGTTCTCAGAAGTTTAAATCTGACTTAGAGATTTTACCTTCTATGACCTTCTCAGGGTCAGAAAAACTTGCTTCAAAATGACCAATTTTTAATGATATTGTGAGCAACTAGGTGGTGACATTTTGTCATGTTAATGCCTTGTTCAATAATCTTTTTGCTAATAGTAAGACGAATCTGTAGATCAAGGGGTTACCGCATTATTACCTAATTTTTTAAGAATCTAATAGCATTTCGTCATGTCATCGTTTTAGTATGTAATTCTAAGATTTAGATTCTAGAAATGACGCCCCTTGCTCTGTGTGCTAAGTATGATTTAGATCCCAAACTTTGTCTCTCGTCAGTCTGATACATAACTAGATACTCCACATTCATTGTATTGTGAACATAACCAAAGGATTCACAAGTTCCATGGTTTGTATCGTGGGATTTAGATGGCATACACGCTAGAATGACATTCTAGACTAGAGCCTGGGACATAATCCCGTGATTCGAAGTGATTTTTATCTCAGAACCTATCTGATGTTTCATATCACAGGATCACCAGGGCAACTCGATCACGGATCGCAAGTAAAACAGTAAACTAAGCTACATGGTTTCATTTATATTTAAGATAAACAAACACTGTATCCTAACAAATCGGATTTGAATTCTTCAATATCATATAATATCTATATTGCAAATATCAATTCCTGCAAAACATAAAGTAATCAATAGTCTAGTTGAAACGCCAAAACACATTACCTAGTTAGTGCGTCGTTGTCTGAGAAATGAGATCTTACAAATGATTCTATATTTTACGTCCTGTCTCTTGTTAAATCCTTTAAATAAATGACTCGGCAAACTTACCTGCCTCTAAATCGGAAATTCCAAATTCTAATTGTGCAATATGTCCTATTACCCCAAATCCAAGATGTAAACCCTGACATAGCAGGTTTACAGTACACACAGCAAAAACAATCACCCAACCCCATCCGCCATCGGGATAATGGTCCAATATCTTAATCGTTGGTAAATTAACAAATGGCAATTGGTTAAATTTCTTCTCAGTTTGTGCAACTATTTGATGCGCTGATGTATCTTTTGTCTCGGTAGAACATCCAGTAGAGTTGCTCGATTTACTTTGTAAACTCTGTAGCCTTTGTAGATGTGATCTTTTTGCATCAATCTTTGAATTCATGTTCAAATTCGACGTCTGTTTTCCTGTTATCTCGGCCTGATTCTTATATTAATGACAGAAGACCTATGATGTTAAATAATAGTATCTTGAATTATCATCTGTAGGTTTGTGTTGCAAACATTTATTAGCATGATGCAGTCAGAATCGTCAGTGCTCTTCACACTACTTTGTTTCCTAACTCCTAGAAACTGAATTGCATTACTGTGAACACCAAGTGTTACTTGCCACCTCTCATTTCATCACGTCTGATCTCATCAGCCGTCAAACGTGCCTCGGCTTAAATGTAAGATCTCTTAAGATGTCGGTGAACTGCATAACTCCATTGGCTTTTCATATTAAGATATCTACATCTATGCAGCAGGTTTCTAGGCCATTAATCTCAATTCCTATAATGTCTCTAGAATTGATTTAGACATATTATCCAGTAATTATAAAACACTGTTTCATTTTAATGATTTTCCTTGTACTTATTTGGGAAGATATCCCTGAAATATTTTATCAATGGTTTAACGCCGTTCATTAACTGGCTGTACCATCTTCAGTGGTCTTTTGAGCAGTCTTAAATTGTCAATAGGTTCAGCATCCATATTGTTAATTTCTTCAAGAACAAATCTCTTCATACGAGACATTAGCCTTGTAAGCTCTAGTATACATTGGCCATCTCGAATTCAGCAGCCATCTTGAAAATTCCATCTATTTGTCGAATTTCACATTTTGATTAATCGACCATCTTGAAAATGCTTTATTGAACATCTTGGTAGTTTGAGTTATCAAACGTAGATATATTTTAACGTCATTTATCACAGATTATATTTTCTACGAAAAAATGGATAATTTTCATAAAGGTCTTTGTCTGCCAACAATGGTAAATAATTAACAAAATGACATGTATATATATATACAGGGTGATCCAGAAGTAACGTCAAAGATGTTGTAATTTCAAAAGTATTCATCAGATCTTCATGAAATTTGGTATACATGTACCCACAACATTTCTGAGTTACCATCTCAAAGATTGGAATTCAATCATTTCATTGGTTGAAATTATGGTTGCTACAGTAACCCGATATCGCGTAACCCGGGGCAAATTACTTAACGTGTAATGCGTAATCTCAAAATATCAACAAGATCTGAAATTGTTATATCCTCAACATTTTATTTCACAACAATATAAATCATACTATTGCACAGTTACTAATAATAGTTCATTCTACATAATTGCCACCATTTGCAACACATTTCTCATGTCTGGATACCCATTCCTTGAACACAGAATTAAATCCATTAGAACTCATTCCTTGTAGGGCTAGTACTACGGCATTTTTCAATTCCTCACAGGATTGAAAATTATTTCCACTAAGGTTTCTTTTTAGTTCCCCATACAAATAAAAGTCACTGGGGGCAAGATCAGGTGAATAAGGGGCATGTTCAAGTTGTTGAAATCCAAGTGTTTGGACTGTGTTGCTGGTCAGGATTGCAGTGTGCGTAGGGGCATTGTCCCAATGCAAGATAAACTGCTGCAGATGTCTGGGACGCTTTTTCCTCAGGGAACGTTGAAGATCACGCTTCAGAACCTGAAAAACAAATGTTTAATGGTTGTTAAACCAGTTGTTTCATTGATTGGATTTGGATTTGAATCATGGCCATGGAGTTATAATTATATTGACAGTGAACAACATTTAAATACTTTAATTTAAAAATAAAATTCACAGTATGATGTATTATTAGAACAAATGATATCTTACCTTTGCAATGTAAACGGCATTAATTCTCTGGCCAATGGGAACAAAATGGGTTAACACCATTCCTCTAATGTCAAAGAATGTCACAACCATTTGTTTCTTTTGTGGAATTCCTGGTACTATTTTAGGCTTGGTTGGTGTTGGGGAGTTGTCATGTTTCCACGATGAACTTTGTTGCGTGGTCTCTGGGATGTAGAATGATAGCAATGATTCGTCACTCGTAATGATCTTGTTAAGAAAGTCATCTCCATCTCTCCGATATTTTGCAAGAAAGTCCCTTGAAGCCTTAACACGCCGGTCTTTCTGCTCCTGTGTCAAGTCATGCGGCACCCATTTAGCAGACACCTTCTTTAACAGACAGTTCTTTGTCAGTATCCGTTGCACAGTCCCATAGCTCAGATCGTGTTTTTCAGCCAATTCTCTGATAGAAATTTGCCTATTGTCCATAACATCAGCTTCTATTGCTTTGATGGTTTGATCATCGAATGACGACACTGGCCTGCCTCCTCGCTGCTTGTCTACCACTTCATCATATCCACTGGAATACTTGTTAAACCACCTGTAAATGTTTCTCTCAGCAATGGCAGCTTTACCATATGCCTTCTTTATCTGTCTTATAGTCTCTTTTACACCTTTCCCCAACTTTACACAGAACTTAATGTTTGTTCTTTGCTCTATTTTACTCTGACTTGGCGCCATCTTGAATTGGGTGGGTTAGTGTCCTTGGTCATGTTAGTATTTGTCATGGATGATGGAAGCAATTCAAAGAAATTGAAAGCTTTTTATGAATGCCTATTGTGACATCACAACTATTACATATTTGTTACCATGGCAACAAATATAAAAATCATAGAAAACAAACAATGAACATTTTCAAATGTTACTGACTTTTTAAATTAGAGAAATTCACAAAAACGTTATGGTTTCTCTTCAATTTGCCCCGGGTTACGCGATATCGGGTTACTATAGCAACCATAATTTCAACCAATGAAATGACTGAATTCCAATCTTTGAGATGGTAACTCAGAAATGTTGTGGGTACATGTATACCAAATTTCATGAAGATCTGATGAATACTTTTGAAATTACAATGTCTTTGACGTTACTTCTGGATCACCCTGTATATTCAATTTTTAGTTTTAGTTTAGTTATATCCAATGATATTTGTCGATGCTGTTTTAAGAAAACATCAGATTTTGTAACGGGGATTGGAAACGCATCGAGTATTTTTGTTTGACAAGCAGGTACAGTGTAGGTGTAGTTTTATTTGGTAGATGTGAACGTTTCGTAGTTTTCATACCTGGCAGTAAGCTTATCACATTTCCAGTTCTTCGGGGAAACATTCCAATTGTTATGAATTGACATGCATCCATCTCGCTTTTCTAGTTCTAGAATGTGGGGGTTAACCAAAGAAATTTTGTGATTTTGAACAAAACTTCTGTGGTTAACACCACTTTGTTGGAAACCTTGAGTTTGGGTGTCGATTTGTAATCATCGAATGTTTCCCCGATGTATTGGGAGCGTGATGAGCGTATTGACGGCTGCACTGGTATTGCAATCGATTACGCTGTCAAACCGAAACGGATCATAAGATTTTTCTTTTCCTTGATTTCCCGAGATATAGCATGAACCATGAATCATCCAAATCTTTTGGGCATAATCATGTATAAGCATCATATGTTTTTTGAAATCCAAGTGATTTCGCACGTATAGTGGGATGACAGAATTTTCAATTTAATTCCTCACTTTGCAGGTAAACGAAACTTCAAAAACGGTAAGATCTGCACTTTTAACCCGTTCCGTTTACGTAACAATAGTAAGGTATTAAATCGACGATTCTGTTGTCTTCTGGACTATTTGTTTGCAAACATGTATTTCTTAAACATGTGATACTGACATACATTTGTGTTAAAAATGCCGTTGGAATTCTGCCTACAAGTCGTGAAATAAGGATAAAGGAAAAATCGAACCTTCGAGTTTCCAATATTTTGTTACCAAAACGGATCAGTTTCGGTAACTAGTCTGAATTGTGCAGTGAGATACATTAACAAATTGTTTAGAGACGAAGATGGCAGTTTTTGTAATGTATTACGCTTCGAAAATACTATACGCATTTGTAATGTATATGGAACTTAAAGTTTAAAGTTGATCAAAAGATGGCACTAGAGTAAACTAAACTAGACTCAAAACTGGAAAGTGCAATCAGAGAAGCCAATTATGATTTTGAAAAGAACAGTTAGTTCACAAAGAGAAGTCAAAGCATACACATGTAAATATTATGTGAAGATATAAAATAAGAAATAAGAACATAACGTTGTACAAATGATCCAAGAACCAAATAAGAGACCGAAATAAGCGACAACTATCAGACCTAGCGAGAGCATAACGTCCAGAACCCAAGATAGGCGTCGACAAGGTAGTATATAACAAGATAATAACAACATTACATGGTGGCGGCAAACGACAAGAACCACGCTTCAAGCGCTACACAAGCAATACTAAGGACGAGGTAATATAATTGCTATTTTGTTAGGAAAATTCCATGAAGAGCTAGAGACTTTGATGTGAACTCAAGGCAAAGAACTTTATTCAAGACCTAAGATTCAAGATCTGAAGCAGATCATAAAGAACTTTTCTAAGAAACTAAGAAAGAAGCAAGCCTAAGAAATTCAGAGTAAAAGGAGAGTTACAGAAGTCACTAAAGGCAAATCTTGGAAATGAAAACTGAAATGAAAAAATCAGTTCACTGCACAGTAGCATAGCTTTTTACAATTGGCAAATCAGTGGCAAATTCAATAGCAAAGTACAACATTGGAAAATCTCACATTGGAAATTTCATATGCATTTACATGTAATCTGGAAAGCTTTTTTCATGAAGTACACATTTTATTAGTACAGAGTTTTTCAATTTGAAAGTAGGATAAGAATTTAGCATAGAAAGTTTTTCACATGTAGAGTGTATACAAGTGTTTTATATGAAGGTATTATTAGCTAGATAGCCAATCAGTAGTCATGCAACAATAGGCTAGGTTAGATTACATGGTTAAAACAAAAGAGTAGTTATGATAGTTAGTTCTCAATTTTTCACACATAAATCTGAATGCATTTGTGCAAGGTCAAGTTGACCCAGTGAGTGAATTAAGTGTTTGCCTAGTTTTGTTGACATAAACCCATATAAGGCAATAAGGTCAAGCTGACCAAAAGGTAAACAAACAGTTACTGAAGTACAGCACCTGAATAAGAAAGTGAAACTAGCAAAACTTACAACTTAGCTATTTATCTGCTATCATTGCTAAAGTAAGATAGTTAATTTTACAAACATTTATAGAGTAAGATGGTTTAATTTTCACTGTTATTTTAGATTAGATTAGTGGTGAATAATCAATTAGCAAGCAAGCAAGCCATCAGCGACAGTGCATTTTATTGGTTCATCATTGGTG